ATCTTATTTTCCATCCGATAAAGGATGAGATAGGGAGGAGGGGTAAGGAGCCAAGGAGACGCAGGTGTGCGGAAGTGGGAGACGGTGGTACCGAGGTCCCGGATGTTCTGGGTCCACCCCCTCGCACTGTGTTCCCTCCCTGTGGATTGCGTTTCCACCCCTTCACCTTCCGCAGAAAGCGAGGTGAGACGTGCTCGCTGAGGCTCTGCAACTCACCAGTCTGAGTGGACGAGGAGAGATGTCTGACATTTACAGTTGGCGATCTGATAAAAGACACGGCTGCTGAGAAGAAAAGTACCATGGGAGGAGAGGATTTTGGGGGGAAGTTTCTCATTTCTTCAACAAATAATATGTGTTGTCCTCTGCTCTGTGCCAGGCACTGTTATCCACTCTGGGGATTTGGCAAGGATATGTACACACACACATATATATATGTACAGCATCTGTGAGATAAAAGGATGGTCTCTGCCCTTGGTTCCTGGTTCAGAGCTCCTAAAGCCCCTGTAATTTATTAAGTAATAAGGATACTAGAGGCATCTCTTATTCTAATATTGTCTTTGACTACAACCCTCACAGAGGATTCCTAAAACCCTTATAAATTCTTAACTGAGAAGTACAAGGAGCATCTTTTGTTCTAATGAGTTGACTATGAGCAGGCTCCTGGATGGCAGCTGGTCACCAGAAAGATGAAGTCATGATTCAGTTCAGTTTGGTTCAGTTGCTCAGTTGTGTCCGACTTTTTGCAACCCCATGGACTGCAGCATGCCAGGCCTCCCTGTCCATGACCAACTCCTGGAGCTTACTCAAACTCATGTCCGCTGAGTCGGTGATGCCATCCAACCATCTCATTCTCTGTCATCCCCTTCTCCTCCCACCTTCAATCTTTCCCAATAAGTCAGTTCTTTGCATCAGGTGGACAAAGTATTGGAATCTCAGCTTCAGTTATTGTCCTTCCAATGAATATTCAGGACCGATTTCCTTTAGGATGGACTGGTTGACTCTCCTTGCTGTCCAAGGAACTCTCAAGAGTCTTCTCCAACACCACAGTTCAAAAGCATCAATTCTTCAGAGTTCAGCTTTCTTTATAGTTCAACTCTCAGATACATACATGACAACTGGAAAAACCATAGCTTTGACTAGCCAGACCTTTGTTGGCAAAGTAATGTCTCTGCTTTTTAATATGCTGTCTAGGTTGGTCATAACTTTTCTTCAAGCAGCAAGCATCTTTTAATTTCGTGGCTGTAGTCGCCATATGCAGTGATTTTTGGAGCCCAAGAATATAGTCCCTCTGTCTCCCCATCTATTTGCCATGAAGTGATGGGACCAGATGCCATGATCTTAGTTTTCTGAATGTTGACTTTTAAGCCAACGTTTTTACTCCCTTCTTTCACTCTTATCAAGAGGCTCTTTAGTTCTTTGCTTTCTGCCCTAAGTGTGGTGGCATCTACGTATCTGAGGTTATTGATATTTCTCCCTGCAATCTTGATTCCAGCTTGTGCTTCCTCCAGCCCAGCATTTCTCATGATGTACTCTGCATATAAGTTAAATAAGCAGGGTGACAATATACAGCCTTGATGTACTCCTTTTCCTATTTGGAACCAGTCTGTTGTTCTATGTCCAGTTCTAAATGTTGCTTCTTGACCTGCATACAGATTTCTCAGGAGGCAGGTCAAGCGGTCTGGTATTCTCATCTCTTGAAGAAAAAGCAAGAGAGTTCCAGAAAAACATTTACTTCTACTTTATTGACTATGCCAAAGCCTTTGACTGTGTGGATCACAACTGTGGAAAATTCTTCAAAAAATTCTTCAAGTCATGATTAGAAGCTTTTAATTTTTAGTGTCTGCTCCTTGCCATCCTTCAGAGAGGGGAGAGGGGCTGGAAGTGGGATTAATGATCACACATATGTGAGGAAGTTTCCATAAAAATCCCAACAGGAGAGGCTTCTGAGAGCGCCCGACTGGTGAAGTCATCCCCACTGGGAGACTGACACACCCCAGCTCCATGGACAGAAGCTCTGGTGTTGAGGACCCTCCCAGACCTCACCCTATGTATCTCTTCATCAGGCTGTTCACCTGTATCTTTTGTCATAACCTTGAACAGGAAATGTAAGTAACTTTCCCCAAGTTTTGTGAGCCTCCACACCTTTGGTGATGGAAGTGTCAGAAACAAAGAGCTTTGTGTAAGAAGTGGAGACACCTGTGATGAGAAACACATTGTAGCAAAAACCCTGAGTTTTCCCTTACACAAGGGGAAGGCTGACTTTCTTCCATTTTAGCATCTATAGGTATACAGTAGAGCACCGTGTTTTGGCAGAGCCTACATTTTAGCGAAAGGGGGCAGAGAATAAACAAATGTACTAAAATATAAATTATATAGAAAATAAGTGTAGAATGGATAAGGGAGATCTCGAGTACTGGAGTTCAGGAAAGGTGGTTACAAATTTAAAATGAGCAGTGAGGGTAGGCTTCAGAGAGAAAACATTTGAGCAGAAACTTTGGGATGAGGGAGAGTGAAATATCTTGCAGAAAGCCTTCCAGGAAAAGGGAACAGCTCTTTCCAGGTCTTTAAAGACGATGTACATCTGGCGGACTCAGAAGGTAGTGGGGGAGCAGGAGATGAGATGAGAGAGGAAGCGAGAGCAGGCAGGTGATACAGGACTTACTTTGAGGTCATCTAGCTTTGGAAGAAAAGGAGCCCTAGACTTCCCAGCTGGGCTTCTAATTGCATCTCTGCCTAATGCATCTTGATGCATATTAGGCAATATAATTTCTGCAACAAATCTTCAATATTTATATTTGTTTTGGATGTGATACAGCACTAATTCCCTGGCATAGGGAGAGAGCAATTGGCCAGGTGGCGGTCGTCGGACTCGCCCACTCCACTCATGCCCTACAGCTGGGATCATTTGTGATACCGCGCATGTGCATCCTGGTGGGCCTATACAAGCACCACCTGAAAAAGTTCTTGTAGGAGAGAGTCAAGTAGAGGTGAGTCGCACTGAGTTGCCCCGTCATCGTTGCTGCTGCGTCAGCCGTTAGAGTAAAGCTTGTCTGCCTTGCTGCTGCGAATAAAGAATGTCTTCAGTCCTTGTTGTTGTAGCCACGCGTTCCAGGAAAGAAACTCACTCAGAGGACAATGCAGATGGTGGAGTGCAGTTTATCACACTGGTGGGCCCAAGACAGCGTCTCCTCTTAGCCGAGGACCCCGACCAGTTTTTGTGAAAACCTTGTATACCCTAGGGAGAAGGCAATGGCAACCCACTCCAATACTCTTGCCTGGAAAATCCATGGACGGAGGAGCCTGGTAGGCTGCAGTCCATGGGGTCACTAAGAGTCGGACACGACTGAGCGACTTCACTTTCATTTTTCACTTTCATGCATTGGAGAAGGAAATGGCAACCCACTCCAGTGTTCTTGCCTGGAGAATCCCAGGGACAGGGGAGCCTGGTGGGCTGCCATCTAAGGGGTCACACAGAGTAGGACACGACTGAAGCGACTTAGCAGCAGGAGCAGCGGTATATACCCTAAGTGTACGTGCCCAAACCCACTTCCCCAAATTTCCTGAAACTAGTCTGAACAAAGGAAAAAGAAAGATACAATCAAAGTTAACCCGTGATTCATATGCCTTAAGCCTAGGTAGTTAACAGTGGACAATATCAATAGGTTTGTGGTCATACCCCAATAAGCATAATAGAATATGATTCTATTCAGTTACACAGATAATTAGGGTATTCTTTCAGGTGACAGAGAGTCTAGGTATGAGCTCTGGGGCTCTTCCTTCTAGGGGCCTTGTTTTTCAGTTGGTATGTCATTTCCATAGATACTGGGCATATAGTTCAAAGTCCACAGTCTGGCCCAAGATGGAGTCCTGCTTTCAAGATGGAGCCTGTTGTGTCTGTTTTCTCCCTCACTATGGCTCTTTGCATCTTCTTCCGGCTTCCCTGCTCATGCTCTGCACACTCTGGGCTCAGCGAACAGTGAGATACAGCAAGACACCTGGACACTATACACTTATACAGGTTGCAAATCTCTGCTTACAGTACAGGACTTTTCTCAGAGAGGCACTTGTTGAATGAAGGAATGAATAAATGAATGAACAAATAAGCTTAGACCCGCAAGTGGGTCCTCAACATATTATTTCAACTTTATTGCCCCTACACCCTTTCTTGACTTGGTTTCTACTCAGCTGCTTGCTCTTTCAACTAGATATTTCTGCCTCTGTCCTTATCCCATTTCCCCCTACTTGAAATGCTCTCCCCAAACCCTCTGCTCTTGATTCCAGTTTTATCTGTTAAAGACTCCATTTTGTCCAGAAAGCCCTTCTAGACCCTCTGGCTTTTTCTGAACTTCGATAGCATCATTCTTCTTTCTTAAAAAAAATTAAAAAAAAATTTTTTTTGGCCACACTGTACAGCTTGCGGGAACCTAGTTCTGCCACCAGGGATTGAACCCCGGGCACCCACAGCAGTGAAAGCCTGAGTCCTAGCCATTGGACCACCAGGGAATTCCGGTGATACCTCTCATTTGTTTAATCTGTTTCATAGAATAACTTTCCAGTGTTATTTTAAAAAAACACTGTTTGCTCTTTTTGTATCAGTTAGGCAACGAATACATAAATGGCAGAACGCAGGGGGTTAGTCCTCAGAAGGTCTTTGTAGGTCTTCATAGAACCTTTCAACTTCAGATTTTTCCACGTTAGAGGTTGCAGCATAGACTTGGATTCCTGTGATGATGAATGGTTTGCCTTGGAAACGATCTCAGCGAGATAGTTCTATCAATTTCGTTTTATAGAAGCTTAAGGGGTAAGAGAGGTTGGGACGTGGCTGATCTCATGTATTTAATAAGCAGGGAGCGCACCAAGACCAGAATATAAGTTGTACCGCAAGACAAGCAAGAGGTTGTCCCACCTACTCAAAGAAGGGTTTCAACTCAGCATTTCCTTTTGACCCCGGGTTAACTCCACCCCTTTCCCCGGGAATCAGAGGCGGCGCGGCCGCGGAAGCTTGTCCGCCGCGGCTTGCCGTAGTGGCCCTGCCCCAGCGCTTGGTGGGGCCAAATATGGCGTCCTCCGAGCCACCGCCGACCGTGAGTTCATGCGCTGCGGAGGGCGAGGAGGAGACGATACTCTATGACTTGTTGGTCAACACCGAGTGGCCCCCGGAGACGGAAGTACAGGTGAGCGAGGCCCCTCCGGGGCTGCGGCCAGCTTGGTGCCGGCGCTGCCCCGGCAGAGCCACGTAGCCGGAGCCACGTAGGGTGATGGAGCTGGGCTCCACCGCTTGTGCGGTCGTCCTGGCAACGGCACCGCGGGCTAACGGGGGTCCGGGTCCCCTAGGTGGGGTTTTCTGGCATGCCTCCTGGACTCCTAATTCGGTTCTCGGGGTGGGGCGGGGGGCGAAACCTAGGGCTCTGAGGCACGCTTTACAACCCCGCTCTGTTTCACCGTCCCTACTTGGACGGGAGACACAGCGTTGGACTCGGGGGTCCTTCCCTCACCTAGACCCTCGGTGGTCCCTTCCCCAGGCCGGCCCGGGCAGGGCTGGGCAGGGCTGCTCCTCACCTGCTGTGGGAGTATTTTCCAGGACCCTGCAGTCATTTCAACATCTGTTGGGCTGTCGTGGGAGCGCGGCATAAACCTTTGCTCCTATTTGGGCCCAAGTTGTGCCAGTTCTTGTGTTATTTCAGTAATTAATGAGTATATGTGTGTATGTGTCCGTGTCCCAGATACTGTCAGGCGCTGCGCTTCCGAAGTGAATAACTTCGGTGGTACTTGCGGTCTTAGAGGGAAGACAGTGTAGTAAACTTTTTCATCACCTGCTGTATATATGCATTTTAATGGCGATGTGAGCAAAATGCCCTGAGGAGTGAAGATTTATGAGGACCCGGGGTTGGGTTCTGTGTTAGAAGGGTCGTAGGTGTTGGTAATATGGACCTTGGGGTCATTAGTTTGATAGACAGGACCTCCCAGGCACAGGGTGGAGATAAGAACCAGGAATCTGCATTTATTAAACATATTTATTGAGTGCCTAACGTGTGCCAGTTGCTGTTTTAAGCTCAGGATATGCAGCAAGATGGGAAAGGAGTTTCCCATCATGGGCTCGAGCCCATATGAATTCTTATTTACAATCTCTTTTCTGAGTTTCTCTCTCTGTTTTTTTTTGGCTGCTAAGTTTCTTTACTGGAGAAAGTATTGCTTTTCCTGTAAAGTTTACAAGCTTTTCTTTAACCTCCTTCCTACTGCAGTTTCTTCTTTTTGGAATATTTTGTAGGCTGGCAGAGATCCTCATGCGTAATTTTTAAAAAGTATTTACATAGTTTCTGTTTGTGTTGACCAATTGGTATTTTGTATCTTATGCAGCTGGAAAGTTGCTGCTGCCGTTGATTGGAGAGTTTCCACACCTTAGCACTCACTGGTTAATTACAATAATGTTATAGAAATGCTTAACATTATAAATTGGTTAAAGAGATATGCACTGCATCAACTCATATTGAAACCTCATAACACTCTTTTGTTTGGTTCTATTGATTTCAACTGAACTACAAGCTCTTGAAAGGCAGCTACATTTGACTCATTTTTATATTCCTTCCCCAAACCAAATTTTGTATTCGCAAAGTAAATGATCGATTCATGTTTGTTGAATGAAATAACTTTTTATGGCTTTTAAGCCATATCTGTCTGCACTTTGTGACCATTAGGACATCTTACAGGTTTAGTGCCTGGTATTGTTTAACCTATGTTTGGTCTGTACTTAAGGAACTATTTAATATAGCAGTTATAGATCAGTGTGGCTGTTTGTAGTATTTTCTCTATGAATATGCAGCTAATATTCAATAAATTTGCTTTGGGGTGTGAGTTTATTGATCCACATGATCACTTTTTCTACAAGCAAAACCCCTTTTAGGCCTCTGTAGCCCACCAAAATAGACTGTGCCAGCTGGCAACCAGTGTGGTCTTAGACCTTGACTTTTTCTCTCTTTACACTGGTGTTTTGATTTAGAAACATTTTCCAGCTTCAGTCCCTGTCCTGTCTTGCAGAATTCATCCAGACAAATGCCTATATCTCTGCCATGCTCACTTTGCTAGTACTGCTTCTTGTTTTGTTTCTATCTATAAGTAATTTTAAAGATACTGGTAACTTGGGCCCAGTACTGAGTATTAGTAAAGAAATATAACTTACTGTATAAGTATCAGTAGAAAATTCTCAAATTTTTTTTTTCATTTGCAGCCTAGAGGCAACCGGAAACATGGTGCATCCTTTATCATCACAAAAGCAATTAGGGGTGAGTATAGCTTATTTTGGCTTCCCTTATAGCTCAGTTGGTAGAGTCTGCCTGCGGCACAGGAGTCTGCATGCAATGCTGGAGATCCAGGTTCGATTCCTGGGTTGGGAGGATCCCCTGGAGAAGGAAATGGCAACCCACTCCAGTGTTCTTGCCTGGGAAATCCCGTGGACAGAGGGGCCTGCCGGGTTACATTCCATGGAGTCACAAGAGTCGGACATGACTTAGTGACTAAACCACCACCATAGCTTATTTATTTATGATATAGTTAGCTTAACTATTTATGATATAGTTAGCAGATAATTTTTTCCTTATTTTTTCCTATTCTGTAACTGTGTTCTTTTAAGAAGTTTAGGTATTTGAAAATGTGTCCTTTTGAGTTTTAATGTAAACTCAGTTGCTAAACTAATTACTTTTAATTTGCCTGATTAAAATGAGTATTAATAGCATAAATGTTACCTGTTTTATAAAAAAATGCGTGTGTTTTAACTATATACATCTATGTAAGTACACGTGTGTATATATACATATACACACATGGATGTATTCATATGTTTATACAGACACATTTTTTACAGTCTATTTTTAATTAAAGGATTATTGCATTATGGTATTGCGTTGGTGTCTGCCATCCATCAACAGGTATCAGCCGTAGGTATACACATGTCCCCTGCCTCTTGAACTTCACTCCCACTGGTCACCCCATCCCTCCCCTCTAGGTTGTCACAGAGCACCAGTTTGAGCTCCCTGAGCCATACGTCAAATTCCTACTGGCTGTTTTGCATATGGTAGTGTATGTGCTTCCACGGTACTCTCTGCGTTCATCCCATTCTCTTCTTACCCACTGTGTCCACAGTTCTGTTCTCTGTGTCTCTGTTGCTGCCCTGCACATAGGTCCATCAATACAATATTTCTAGATTCCATATATATGTATTAATATACCTATTTGAAAATATAATAATAATTTTATCTTCTGTTACAAGACACACTAGCATATTCAGTTTTCATTATCAAATGTGAAATTTTGAAAATTTAGGAAACATATAAAAGTAATGTGCTAAGTTTAGGAATATAGAAGACCACAAATTGGAATAAATAATTCCTCATTTTACCACCCCGGAGATAATCTCTTATCCTTCAGACCTTTTGCTGTTGTCACATGCATAACCATGTACGCAGGTTCACACATATGTGTACATTTTAAATGGAATCATATAAAACATTGCTTGTCAATAGTGTGTTGAAGATTTTGTTTCCCATGGACTTCCCCATTTTAGGCATTATTATTATTTTTAAGTCTTTGCTGTAAAGTGTGAAATGGTCATAGTCTTTTTCCAAATACTTTGGTTTGGGTGATCACTATGACTTATACTCTATGGTTTCATTAAAGCCTCTTAAGCGAAATTTTGCATCTCAAACTACTTTTACTTGTTATACAAAGTTTTGAATAATACAGACTTGAGACATATAAACAAATATATGATCTTGTGAGAGTTATTGTGTATATTACATTATATTTATTCTTGTCAAGAGTTGTATTCTCCATGTTTTGTTTTGTAATGACTCACTCTACAGTGTATTTTAGACTTATTGTCAGTAAATCTAAAATAGAAAATGATTCCCAAAGAATAGCTCATTCATATTTGGCTTTGCTGTTTCTTTTTATTACAGATCGTTTATTATTTTTAAGCCAATATATCTGGTACAGGTGAGTTGTCAGCGCTTCAGAGAAATGGTATGAACAGCAAATACAAACAATATTATTCCTGTTTATTATTGAAGTTTCCAGAATTGAATCCCAGATTGTGATGTGAATGCTGACATTCAGGTGAACCCAGTTTATAAAACAGACCTGTCAAACATTTGGTATACCCTGACAAGATCTTTCGGTAGGCTAATTTTCGATCCTTTAGTTGTTATTGAGAGTATCTCATGACCATTTCTGCATTCTCTGAATGTTTTCTCAGCCTTGCCTTGAATGTACATATTCAAGAACAGATGAACCTATTCTTGCATTATCTTTTTAAAAACCTTTTTGTTCTTGCTGTTGTATCAACTCTTGTAGTCAGTGTTCAGTTGCTGTGGTCAGAGAATGTCCTCTTAGGTTTCAGTTCTTGGAAACTTCTTAGTTCTTTTGAGTGTTAAGTATGTTTTTAGGCCTGCCTGGTGCTAATTTTCGAAACAAGGAGATGATTAATCGGACCAAAGATATATTTTTGCTTTTAGATGCACGTGTAGGAATTGATTTATAGAATTATTTCCCACAGATTGCTTTTTCCTCGGACAGCTAATCTTAAGAGCTCTAGAGATAACAGGGTTCTAGTTCTATAAAACAAACCTTTGGCTCTTCCCTAGGGTTACCTCCAGTGCTTTTCTGCTTTTACTGTGTGTGTATGTGTGTATGCAGGCATTGAATTTCTTACTGACTTTTCTCTTATTTTGGGGGATGTGGAATGCGGGAGAGAAGTGAGTGAGAGGGAGGGTGGTCATGGGGAGGGGAGTGTAGGAGGTAGGCTGTTTCTCCTGGGCTCACCGGCTACGCTTGCCAGTGCTGGGCACCCTTGGTTAGGGATGGCAGAAACGATGTCTGTTTAGGGTGCTCCTGAACAGTAAGTTCTTCTGTTATTTACTGAGAAGGAGGATTTGCAAGAGCTGCCTCTGACGCAGGCCTCGTCCTGCGTGGAAACACCTTACGATCAGGCGTCAGGAGGTGTCTTTCTCACAAGAAGTCCCTTCTCTTACACTGGCCACAGTGATCAGTGTACAGACTTGAGTGCACCGTGAGGTGATTATCTAGTCTTCTCCGTGGTATGTTTCTTTCAAAAAGCTTGTAGTTGTTTTGCTTTTGAGTTTATGATAATTATACCTAAAAGGTCTTGGAGCCAATATTTGTTTTGAGTGGCCTTTTCAAGGTTTTTTTTTTTTTTTCTTTCAATCATGAAATACTACAAACAGACTGGAAATTGTAGACAGTAATATAATCTGTTATGATCATATCCACTTCTGAATTAAAGCAGTTCTTGCTCTTCTGCCATATGTGCTTCAGATGGCCCTGTTTTTATTTTTATGCAACACGTTAGAGCTCAAGTCCACTCCTCCCCACCCCCACCCTTGCCTGTCTTCTTCCCCTCTAGAGGAAATTATCATTCTCATGTTGATTGTATCACAGGCATGTTTCATATCTTTTTAATTATATTAAGTACCTCATGGCATTAATTGTTTTGTCTTAAAAAATGAACATAAATATACCAGATGTAAATTACTAATATTTTTAATCCTATGTTGTGTTTTCTAATTTCCATATTTTTTTTTCTTTTTTCCTGTTTCTCTTCCCCCATCGAATTTTTTCTTTCCCACCTATTTTCTTGATTTTCTTCATGTGTTACTCCTCTAATTTGTCTAATCTCCTGATTCACGTGTGGTGGGTCGTTTCCTTGTATCTTTTGTTAGTGATGCTATTGTGAGCTTATGCTTGGGAACCTTGCAGCATGTGAGTAAAATGAAATCACCATCCAGTCTTGCATGTAGTAAAGACTTGGGGTTTTGCTATTTCATTAGGAGGTTTCATTCCCATCCCCCCCATAGATCAGAACTTCACAGAGATGAGATTCTTGAAGGTCTCCCTGGGTCCCTGGTGACGTTTGGCTTGTTCCGCTTGCCCTGATGGCACAGTCTTTTGAGGGGCCTGGTCTCTTCGGGGGTCTCACCCCCCACTCCTGTCCCTCCTGTGGCCCCTCGCAGGTGTTTACTCTCCATTTTGAGTTCTGTTCCTCTCTTTGTCCTGTACCCATTTCCAACTTTGTTCTCTTTGCATTCGTAGTTCTTGGGAGATTTCTGTTTATCTCTGTGAGTTTAGCTGTGTACTGGAGTTTGTTTTTGTTAGCGTTGGAGTCTGTATTTCTGGGTGTGCATTGCAGGAAGTGTTTCTTATAAGCTGACTCTGCTGTTACTGACTCCCTCAAATATCTTTTCCTTAGAAAAAACATATCATTGACCACAGAACCAGGGTGTTTTTCGGTAGTAGAGAAATGTACGTGTTCACGTTTCAGATATCGAATTAGTAACTTTCAGTTTTGAGTTTGCCAATATTCTGTTTTTATATTCTAACAGAAAAAAATCCCTCTTGTTCACTATAGATCTGCTGTTTATAATATTTACCTACTATATGTGGTTTTCATGATTAGATTTTTTAAATGGGCTAATGTGTTGTGGTTTCAGCCCTGCACCTTTCTTGCTCCCTGATGGACTGGTTCGCTTGGTTAATAAACAGATAAACTGGCATTTGGTACTTGCAAGGTAAGGATGCATAAAATTCATCTAATGTTTCTCTACCTGGATTAGCATTTAAATTCCATTATGGATATTAATTTTGGGGTCCTTATGGCTTGCTCTCTTGGTTTTTTTATTGTATATAAATTCCCTGTGTCACACATGATTAATATTGTTTAAATATATTAATGCAACTCTACTGAATTATTTTGTATGCCTTTGTACCTATATATGCATCTAATTATAACGTCAGAAGTTGGATAATTAAAGATGTGAAAAAATTTGAAAATGATTTTAACTTCTTAAAATGGTTCCGTCTATGACAATGAGAGCTACAGACACTCATACAGGAATTTCTTTCTCTTTCTGCCCTGAAAGCAATGGGAAGCTCTTGGCCGCAGTTCAAGACCAGTGTGTGGAGATCAGGTAAGTGTCGGCGGTGTTCATTCAGCAGTTCCCTTCAGAAAAGATTTACTTGGTTTATGAGAGCTCAGGCTTTTAAAGGGGGTATATTTAAGGGGATTTTGTTTTTAACTCATGTAACTTTGTAAGGTGTCAAATGCCAACTTATGCTACTTAAAGGATGAAGGCTGCTTTCTCAGAGTTTGCCTTCTACTTCCCAAGATCACTCTTGTCTCCTGAGAAATTTTACTTTCTCAGTAGACAAAAGCATATATTCCAGAGCTCTGAAAATCACTCTTCTTTCATTGCTAAGTCAGATAAGCAAATGCTCAGGAAGGTGAAAAAGCAATAGAGACAGCTTTACTTTGTTGGCATAAAGCTGTAGATGGAATATGGGCCTGTAGAACACTGAGGCTTCGTGTTACTAGATACCACTGATTCTCTGTCCTCCGGAGACATCAGTGGTATTACATACACATCTAGAAGACTTCTCAGAGCTGGGCTTCCCATGCACTTTATTTTTAAGTAGTATATCAGTTGTGAAAGAAATAGCAACATTGGCAACTAATTTAGGAAAATTAGTTTATGCTCTCAGGAAATTGTCAACAGCAGACTAAACATATTGTACCTTTGAATCTGGGGGCCACTCCTGACTCCACGGAAGCTCCAAGTCTTGAGTCTCAAAAAATAAGCAAATGAGGTGGAAATTTCAGGCTGCCTGGATACCAATCAGAAGTTTTTTCTGCTGCTTTCTTGTTGACTGAAACTAGTTTTAATAAGCATTCAGTTTTTCGCACACTGTTTCTGTTCACAAAATTTCTTTTTTCATTTATCCAAACAGAACTGGACCCCTCAGCTTTTAGGGGAATAGATGGAGGGTTAGCTCCTGTTGGGGCTCTGACCTCAGATCAAGAGCCTCTGTGATCACTCCTAAAACCATCAGGACAGAGATGATTGGCGATAATGACTGCTTTTCCAAACTTCATTCTCCATTCAACATGGCTTTGATAGGCAGGGCCCTCTTCTCTAATCACAACAGCGAGCCTTGGGGGCATGGTATTTTGGCTGATGATTGTTAATACAGATGGGCTGGCACTTCCTACTCCATTTGCTGTAGTGATGTGAAATGTTTCTCTTGGAGAAATGTGTTCATCGTGTGACTTCTTTATGAACAGCAGATAGTAGTAAAAATTGCCGTCTTTTTCCCCCCCACAAAATGGGAACATTGATGGAATGATTTTAGTTGTTAGACTGGAATACACCGGTGGCAAAAGATTGATACTTAGGCTTGTGAAGGAGATTTTGACTAAGGGTTTCTGGAACTTGTTACTAAAAATTTTGATGAAAAGAAAAAAAAAGTATTTGCTTTTGTAAGAGGATTTGCTACTGGATTGCTAGCATGTACAATAATGTTTATAAAATGTGTACATAGGCCAGATTTGTAAGAGTCCACTCATGCATTTGAGACTAAGTAGTGAGGGAAGATTTCTGGGCAACAGACGTGATGGTCATCAAGATCTTATTTGTCTGGTCTATAATTTGCAAGAGCTTTGTAACTTGGTACATTTAAAGACTTTTGGGTCCAAGAGGCAGCTGTATGAGGATGCCTTTCAGGGACTCGTTCCCATTGGATCCCCTTCCCCTCATTGGTTAAGTGTTGATCCTTGATGCTCCTGTAATGATCAACACATTAGTGATAAGAAGGTAATGCTAACGGTGTTGGACACTGTTGTAGGTGTTTTACGCATGTTAGCTCAATCCTTGCAGAAGTCCTTTTTCTCTGTTTTAGAAATGAGGACTCTGGCACAGTATGGTGAAATAACTTGCCCAGGTATTTGAAATCAGCTCTCCTAGCTTCAGTGTTCATGCTCTTGTCTACAAATTTGTACTACCTCTTGGTCATGCCTTTTAGCCATCTGTGCCAATATGTTTACATGTGGATTTCCCCCAGTATATTTATGGCCTCTGCTTTGCACTACTCCAAGGGGGTGCCATTTGTTTAAAACTCCAGTGAATGGGATCTGAAGTCTGCGGCTCCGTTATACTGTGTGTTCCTTGGAGGCATGGACCGTTTTCTTTTTTTTTTCCCTTGCACTTGTATATTTCCTTGGATGTAATAGGTGCTTAGTTTATGTTTCAGTGGCCTGTCAGCAAGTGGGATGGGGAAGCGGATTCTGGAGAGGATTTTACGGGGCAGAGCCCACTCTCTTGTTCACATTGGCATTCAGTTGCTTTTGTTGCAGATAGACACCCACACTTACTTTGCAGTAACCTGAAAGGAAATGTCTTTGAGCAAAGTGAGGTGGTCAGCAAAGAAAAAGGGCAAGGTAGATCCCCGAAGTCACCGCTGTGACTGGTAGCTGTGCCTGAATTTTTAAGATGTTTATTCTCACTGCTCCATTTGTGTCTTCTCTGCCACAATGAGGAGCACATAGAATCCAAGATTGACTCCAGCAGTAATGGTAGTTGGCACTCAGTGTTCAGTAAATATTTGTTCATTGAATTAGAATATGAAAGATAATTATAGTGTCTGGGGTTGTTATTCAATATTAGGAAGCAGTTACAAACAGGAGATGGTTTTAGTGGAAAACATGCGAAGCTGAAGCACTGTAGTTGAGACAGCTCTGCTGTTTGCAGCGCAGGGCTAGGCCGCTGTCCCTCCTCTTCAGTTCTGCAGTGAGTGGCAAAGGCCTCCAATCGCATGCTCTCCTATAACCCACTGAACCTGCTTATGTGTGGAGCTCACCTGGGTGAAAAACAGCTTGTGAATTGCTACTTGTCATCTGGGTGCTATAGATTATAAGTGGTTAACACGTACTTCCTTTTTTCCTAAGTATTGAGGTGATAGTTTCTTACAATTATGGGCTGTTATAAATAAGGGAACTGATTAGAAACTTTGATGAAACACAATAAAAAGTATTACAATAAGGTACTCATAAAAAAGGCACCCTTGCCTCCCCTCCTCCCAATTTGCTCAAGTATCTTAAGTGAATATATTCTGTGAAGTTTTGACAAAACAAATTTGTCTCCCCTCCCTGCCTCCCCTTTTCCAGCAAGAAGAACAAACTGTTATTTGTGATTGTATTACTTCAGTCTGTGTGCTAAGTCACTTCAGTTGTGTCCAGCTCTCTGTGACCCTATAGACTGGATCCCATCAGACTCCTCTGTCCATGGGATTTCCCAGGCAAGAATACTGGAGTGGGTTGCCATTTCCTTCTCCAGGGCATCTTCCTGACCCAGGGATTAAACCCCTGTCTCTTGTATCTCCTGCACTGGCAGACAGGTTCTTTACCATTAACGCCACCTGGTCTAGTTCATGGTAATTTATATGTGATGTCTCATTTAGTCCTCTCTGAATGCTGAAGTTGCAGTTTCTTACCCTGTTTAGTGAAAGGAAAAATGGAATCATGCTGAATATTTTGTCCGGGTTACAAGAGCTGACATCAAGTCAACTTCACTTGAGAGGTCATGTCCTTTTTGTTCTAGTCCACGTGGATGTTGTATAGTCTTAATTCCTTGAGGAAATTTATTTCCATAATTGTAGCTGGATTTTGTTAATATAATTTAATAAATGGCTAAAAATCTTAGTCTTTAAAATTTGTTTTAAAGGTAATGCTTACTGATTTTACAAATGTTAGAAAGTACAGTTAAGTATTTATGAAAGAACAGCAAATTTTATGGTCCAAAAGTTGTCTACTGTTAACATTTTGATGTATGTTCTTTTAAATTTGTGTGTGTATAAACTATGCGTATATTTAGTAGAATGATACTCTATATTCTATTTGATACCTTTTTCTTTAACTTCTGTAAATTAATACACTGTTAGCATCTTTTCATGTCACATACAATAATTGCATAATATTTCATAGAGTGTATGTAGTAAAATTTAATAATTAATCTCTTTATACTGGCTGTATTTTTCTTTTTCATAAATTAGACTGCATTAACTGCCTTTATCTGTGTATATCTGTAATTATTTCCCAGGGATAACTTTATAGAAATTAAATTGCTCGATCAAATACCATGGACCATAAAGTTTTGGATAATTGTTTATAAATTCTTTTCTAGAAGGGTTACCATTTTTCATTTTTGAATATATAATAATTAGGCTACTTTGATATTTATTTCAAGAACACAGATATTGAGTAGGTCATTGATATATATTACATATATATGTATATGGTCACTTGTTAAAGCTGTTTGACTTATGAAAACAAGACCTTTTTCCCTGATTAAAATCTGTGATATGATACAGATCAGTGGTTCTTAACCAGGATCCGTCTGTGGAACTTAAAAACAAAAAACTTGCTTGGGCCCCTTCCCAGATTTACTAAATCAGAGCCTTTGGGGTTAGGGTTCAGGCATCTCTATGGTATTAAAAAGCTGTGCTTAAAATCACTTATGCTTGTATTGCTGTATTCTTACTGTAGCTGTGTACCTTGTGAAATAAGGTTGAAAGAAAACATTGTCATCAATGAAAGGGTCTTCTGTGTGGCACAGAACCTATCTGTATGAGGAAAGGAATGTTATTAAACATTAATGTTGTCTCGAGAAGTTGTCTGATCTGTGGTGTCTTATATTACTACACAGTATTGTTATGGCAAAACTGTTGTGTTAATTTTATGTGTGTCTTTTTACAGGTCTGCAAAAGATGATTTTACATCTATTATTGGGAAATGTCAAGGTAAGAGTTTCCAGAATATTCAAAAAATGAGAAATTCAAATTTATAACAATTAATATTTCTTAAAACTCAATAGATGCTGTTTATTGACAAGGATGATTATGAATTTATTAAAATAATTTTAACACATCTTAACTGATTTCTGTTTTAAGATGTGAATTTTGGTGAGAGATGAAATTGACATGTTTTACAAAACTCTTAGCCAGTTTTAATAATGTTCTTGTAAGTGTCTGTACTCTTTTATTTTGAATTGAGTGCAGAGTATCATTTGTAGATAGGTCAAGAGTTGGTCAGATATAAACTAGTAAATAGTCTGGGATTTGATCATTCTTTGATACATGATTCAGCAAAAATTTACTGAGTATCATTTATGTATCTATATGACATTTTGCTGGGTTTGAGGGGTTTGATTATGAGCAAAAATGCATGGTCCCTTACCTCACAAGGCATGTGTGTGTGTGTGCTCAGTTGTGTCTGACTCTTTTGCGACCCCAGGGACTGCCTGGCTTCTCTGCCCATGGGATTTTCCAGGCAAGCACACTGTCACGGGTTGCCATTTCCTTCTTCCCGACCCAGGGATCGAGGCTGTGTCTCTTGCAGCTCCTGCACTGGCAGGTGGATTCTTTACTGCTAGTGCCACCTTGGAAGCCCTTCGCGAGGCATGTAGACACTCAGATATATTCTTACAGATTTTGATAAATCTGAAGGAAACTTACAGAACAGGGTGAGAGTTTAACCAAGAGTGTGAGAGGACGTTGTTCAGAAAAAGTGACTTTTGGAGAGGAAGCTTAAGAATGAGTAGGAGGTAGGAGAAAGCAGGGGAAGTGTTTTGATCTATGAGAGCCATGTATGAAAAGGCTGAGGTATGGAGGAAGACAATTAAGTGCGTGTGCTGTTACATAAATGCATCTATTACGTTTTATTTACAGGACTTCCACTTAATGTTTGTCTGACCTTGTGTTACTTTAAAAGTGGAGAGGTTGTCGGAATCGTGGTGATGATAATCATGGTCACTGTGGTGATGACAAACACTTGTGTCCTTACTGTGTGCCAGACATTGTATTTAGTGCTTCACAGGCCCTTTTCCCCATTTACTTGGAAGAACATGGTATACAAAGTTTACCTTAAAGCAGCATTCAGTTCAGTCCAGTCACTCAGTCGTGTCCGACTCTTTGTGACCCCATGGACTGCAGCACGCCAGGCCTACCTGTCCATCACCAACTCTCAGAGCTTACTCACACTCATGTCCATTGAGTCGGTGACGCCATCCAACCACCTCATCCACTGTCATCCCCTTCTCTTCCTTCCTTCAATCTTCCCAGCATCAGGGTCTTTTCCAGTCAATCAGCTCTTCACATCAGGTGGCCAAAGTATTGGAGTTTCAGCTTCACCATCAGTCCTTTCAGTGAACATTCAGGACTGATTGCCTTTAGGATGGACTGGTTAGATCTCCTTGCAGTCCAAGGGACTCTCAAGAGTCTTCTCCAACACCAGTTCAAAAGCATCAGTTTTTTGGCGAGCTCAGCTTTCTTTATAGTCCAACTCTCACATCCATACATTACTGGAAAAACCATAGCCTTGATTAGACAGACCTTTGTTGGCAAAGTAATGTCTCTGCTTTTTAATAATTTTTTTTAAAATTAAAAAGCAGCATTAGGTTATAATAATCGACAGTGAAAGAGCCGGGAGAAGAGAGGCATTGATAGTTTGGAAATCCACGGAATGGTGGGAAGACAGAGGATTCCCCCGGCTGGTCGTAAGCTCCTGATCAAATGCACCATTGGTGACCTAGGGCCAGTTTCCTTCTCATTCTCAGCTGTTCAGATGTAAAAATCAAATGTTTTAAGAATGTTTGGAGTCCCATGTTAATGGTGATATTAATTAGTATGTTAGAATTATTATTCTGGTACAATTCCATGTATGTGTGTGTGTTAGTTGCTTAGTCGTATTTGACTCTCTGCGACCTGATGGACTGTAGCCTGCCAGGCTCTGTCCGTGGAATTCTCCAGACAAGTAATACCAGAGTGGGTTGCCATTCCCTTCTCCAGGGAACCCTCCCGACCCAAGGTTCTAACCTGGGTTTCCTGAATTGCAGGTGGATTCTTTACCATCTGAACCACCAGGGAAGCCCCGATTCCATGTCTGTGCTTTGTGCTCAGTCATGTCCAGCTCTTTGGACCCCATGGACTATCTACTAGTGGATCAACTAATAAATAGAGTTCTTATGGAGTTAGCTTTACACAGTGTATATTGTCACTTAAGAGCAAATGTGAAACTGCCTACATATTTATATAAATTCACCTCTGCTTCTTGAAATCTGTTCCTTCCACTCTGTTACTTGGAGTACCCCGTCCCCTCAGTGCCCTGGTCAATGGTACTCTCATCTGTACCAAGCATAAAATCCAGGCATTTTCTCTTCTTTTACCTTCCCTCCCTTCTTTCTTTCTTTGACAAACATTTATTTCATTGCCACCATACCAGGCACTATTAACCTAGGCACTGTGTATACAAGTAATAAGATTAGGTTACCTAGATTTAAGGATTTATAGCCCATCAGGGGGAGAGAGAGAAATAATTCATTGCGATTATACTGAGTGATGCAATGGAGAAGACTCACCTTAATTTCACCACGTCCCTGGAATCTTTTTAAATGACGCTTGCTTGCTGCTTGTGCACGTCATCTGTCTCAGCCCTAGTTCAGGCTCATAATGTTTTTTTTTACTTGGTTTCTTGCAATAGTCTCCTAACAAGGTTTTCTTCTATATGCCCTTCACTAATCCATACTTTACACTGCTTGTCAAATTGATCATTCTTCAATGAGAATTCTATCAAGGTTCCCTTTAAGTCTGGCTCTGCTGCTTTTTAGGTACTAACCTTGGACCTGTTATTGATACTCGACGTCTCTGAGCCTCAGTGATCTGTAATACAGGTTTAAACCTCTACAAGGGGTTGTGGGGAAATGATGTGAGCTTTTATATATGTATATATAAATATATATATATATAAATCTCTTAGAATAATGTCTGACATACTGAGTACTCAGGAGACATTATGCTATTATTATTGTTACTGTCACTAGGACTGTAAGATGTGCTTAAGCTCTTTCACTTGTGCTCCGTTGACTGTAGAATGCAGCTCTTATTTTCCAGTTCAGGAAATAAGATTAGCTCTAGTCTGCCTGTCTGTCCTGTGAGATGCCCCTGCATGTGTTGAGCAGCTGGCAGTTTCGAGCCCCATTGTGCTTTTTATACCGTGGTGGTGATGGTTCCGTTAGTCTAGATGCATCCGCCATTCTATTTAATTAATTAGCTCCGCATGTTTTAGTTCAAACATCAGCTTTTTTGGGCAACCTTGTTTTCCTTGGCCTCTTCCTCATGATTTGCGCATTTTTTCTTCATGTTTCTCTAGGACTTTTTGTACCTGTATCATTGCACTTAGCCTAATTTCCTTTCCTTTTTCAATTGTTGGTTTGCTTGTGTGATTCCTAATTAGATTGAAAGCAGGTCTTCTCTGTCACTGAACTTTTTTTTTTTCGTTCTTGGTCCCTAGTTGGTGTCTTAACACATAGTAGGCACACAGCTTTTGGCCATATCAAGTGGATAATAGTATTTGATAGCTACTAAAGTGATTTTGTAAGTGAATCTATAAACATAGTGTATTTCCTTGTTTCTTGTGAGTTAATTTTGTAAGTTCATGTGTATGTGTGTGTATGTACATACACAGATATATGTATGTATTTCGTATATATTATACACATATATAAGTTTGTGGGTAATTGTCATGATACTCCTGTTTTTTATTCCTGTTGTACACAAGTGTGTATACATACCACAATTAGAACTATAAGGATATATAAGAAGCCATGTTTGCTTAGTATCTTGTTGAGAATAATAGAAGGTGAGTAGTTTTTGTGACTTTCTATAACTTTGGGGTTCCAGGTTTTTCTCAATTTGCTTTCTATAGGTTTTTCACCAGCACTTACTGAAGTGGACCATGTTTGGAGTAAATCAAGTATAAGGATCAAGAGGTTCCCAGAACAGTTGGGGATATTCAGTTACCTTTTCCCCAGTGATTCCCCCTTGTTGGGTTGGGGCTTGGGGACCATGTGTTGGGCTTCTGAGAAGTGTGCTCAGAATCTAGGAATGATCCAGACACTCAGGGCCCCTTTGAGCTTTGACATTAGACCTGCTCTGAGTCCGTAAGTAAACCAAGAAATCTGTGAGTTAACATGAAAATGGGAAGATTAACCCTTCTGTATTTCAGACAACTTGTAACATTTGTTAGAGCTTTTACTGTGTATGGGCCCGGTACCTGGTGGCTTAGCTGGTGAAGAATCTGCCTGCAATGAGGGAGACCTGGGTTCGATCCCTGGGTTGGGAAGATCCCCTGGAGAAGGGAAAGGGTATCCACTCCAGTATTCTGGCCTGGAGAATTCCATATATTCCATGGGGTTGCAAAGAGTTGGACATGACTAAGCGACTTTCACGTTTCACTTCACTGCGTACAGTTGATGTGGCAGCATGAATGAGACAATAATGCTTCGAGAACTAATGTTTTATTTTGTCGGCTTCTGAGTGTGTGAATTTATGACTCTAATGCTGCATTAATGGATTCTTTCCATTTTGTATAATGTGAGGTAATGATCATTTGCTTATCATCTAACTCATCTTTATGGGCATAACTCTCGTCTGCCAAATGATGTTTCCTGTGTATGCCTGGAGAGAAGGAGCCAGATTGTTGTTACTGCATTTCTGAAACTCATTGTAGAGTCTGCAGACTGAAATAGGAGCTATTTGGTTCCACTTCAATATTTTTCAGTTATTGTTTGATAAAATATATGCTGTTTGAGGATGTTTTAAATGTGGATTGCAACTTGTTTTGGCTGTGTTTGCCAGGCCATAAATAGTAATTCCATCTTCTTTTTCTATCTTGAATAAAGACTTAAAAATAGCACATGGAATTAGACATTTTTAGAGCTATCCTATGTGTTTTCTCATGTTTC